TCGTACGTACGTCGTGTGTGTGTGTGTGTGTGTGTGTGTGTGTGTGTGTGTGTGTGTGTGTGTGTGTGTGTGGGGTGTGTGTGTAATAATGTTGCGACATTACTGCCGGTGATCGTATCTGCTTCGTTCCCCACAAAGGGCGTTTACCGTCATAAACGTAATGCCACACATAATGAATAGCTGAAACGCCTCGCTTGACGATAAAAGCGTTAAATCGCGATATCTTCATCGTACTTCCTTTCCATTACACGCATGATCATTAATCTTGCCGATCGTCGGCGATCTTACAGGGTTAACGTGTGGGTATTGCCGGGTTAATGCTCGTATCAGTCAGCAACGCTATTTGTATAATTGATCTCTGATTAATAAGTAACAAGTCACTCGAAGGGATACAATCTACTTTTAATTTATTGGACATGGCAAATCGATTTATGTGGTTTAAAGAATAATACGCAATTTACATATCTCTAAAAAATCTACAATCTTAGCTAGTTGCAGTGAATTTGGAATAACTGTGCCAACTGTGCTAAGCTAATCGCTAATTTTAGAAAAGAATGTTAATGAGATGGTCAAACAATTTGAATTGCAGCAAGAAACCATGTGTTTAATCTTTTCTGATGCACTAGAGATAAGCGGCTGATGATACCTCTGGATTAAGAAACTTACTAATATTTGCCTGAAATATTTCTTCAGATTCAAGCCTGGCGTGCCGGCGACTTTGGCCAGAGTTTCCTTGAAAGATAAGAACTGTCAGGCCAGTCTCGTCGCTTTCCCTTGCTGGTCGCTCCAAGAAGAAGGGACATGCACCGCATTCCAAAACGTCGTGGACATCTATTTAGATCCCCAGGACATCCTGTGGGTGCTGGACACGGGTGTCGTAAACTCCCTCGAAGAAGCACAGCGCAAATGCCCGCCGAAGGTTGTCGCGTTAGATGTGAAAACCGGCAAGGTAAGATAATTCGTTTTTAAAATTAACGATATGAAATGAGAAATAGCGCGTTTTATCTTCTTGAAAGCTTCATTGGAGTACGCAAACAAGAAAGACATTTTTATACAATTTCTTATGACTCTGATCGGTCAAGCATAAAAATGTTTTAATACATTTCCCCACATCTTTCTCTCCTGATAAAAATATAATAAAGTTATTTTAGATTTTTATATAATTTTTTTGTTAGTCACGCCGTTTGAGCATGCATTTATGTTATTCATCCACATTACTTTTTCTTTTTTCTTTCGTAAGCGTTATACGATAAGAATTTTAAATACCATTCTTAGCACAAATCACCGCGTAATATTTGTTTAAAAAGCCATTTCTATTCTTATATCGTATAATTGTTACATTATCGCCATATTAATTAAATTATCTAAATTGTTAATCATCTAAAATTTATTAAAATTGCAATTTATTATTTTTACCTTGATATTTGAAGAAAAATAGATTAATTCTAAGTGCAAAAATAGCATTGCACAAACATACTTCTTATGTTTTCTTGATTAAATTGATATTTCATAAATTACCTCTAATTCTCTCTAATTAATTATACATTATTATTAATCTTCTCCAATTAATTATATATACTACTAGTTTGATTCGTGCAAAAAAAAAAGAACGACTGCTAAATAAGCTTCGCGCAACTTTCGAATTACATATCCTTAGAGACTAACGAAAATATTTTTATTGTAATTAACAAACGCTTCTTTTTCAGGTCGTAAAAGTCGTCGACCTGACCGGCCTTACGAGCGCCTCGTCCCGACTGCAGTACGTCGTGGCGGACTACAACCCGGACGGCCGCGTCTTCATCTACGTGTCCGACGCAGCCTCGCGGGCGATCCTGGTGTACGACGTGACCTCGGGTCGTGGGTACCGCGTGGTGCTTCCCCAGGCGGTGACCATGAACTGCAGTCGCCGGGACGTTCTCTACCTCGCCCTGATGCGCCACCACGACGGTAGCACCTGCCTGATATTCACGTACCTGGGCAGCAATCGCGTGTTCACCATCCGCACGGATCACCTCCGAAGTGGCAACGCCCATGGTAAGATACACGATTGCGGCACGAAGCCCAGGAAGATAGTCATCCTGGGCACGGACAACGGCAGCGCGCTCTTCTTCCGCTACGAGGGCGACTCCGAGGTCCACAGGTGGGACTCCACCACGCCCTTCGTGCCCGCCAACTTCCAGCCCGTTTACAAGAGCACCGAGTGCTCCCTGGCCACGCATATCGTTCCCGATTACAAGAGGGGTCGGATGCGCGTCCTCGAGAGCAACTTCCCGGACTACATGCAGGGCACCGTCGGCTGCGGCGTCAATCACGCCCTGAACCTCATATAGAGCGGGGTGATGATCTCGCCGACCGCGAACAAGGGGGAGGAATAGGGGCGCGGGGTGATAACAGCGACACAGCTCTCTCTCTCGGTTCTCTTCAGCCAATCAAGAGATCGGGAGAGCTTGACAATTTGATGAGATTAACTTTTCGTAGACGCGGAACAATGTGTACCTTACGCCAATCGTCGTGCTGAGTCGGAGA